TATATATACATATATGTATATATATATATATATATATATATATATATATATATATATATATATATATATATATATATATATATATATATATATATATATATATATATATATATATATATATATATATATATATATATATATAAATCAATCAATGATACATCAGAGCTCATATAACAACTTTTATTACGTTTCAGATTACATGTTTACACTTGATTTCAACTATTTAAACTGTCCATACCCTAATTATAACAATTCGCTTGATTAGCTCTATTGTTCAAACAAAGTCTTTTAAATTCAACCCATGCGGTTCAAACGAATTCAGTTTATAAGCCCAAAATCCTTCTCTTTGTGTGGGACATGCAACATTAGTTTTATCAATAATTTTAACTTTCACATCTTGCATACCATTATGACCTTGATAAAAAAAATGAGCATACAAATGCTCGCCTGCCATACCCCTTTCACCTCTCCCATATCTATTCATGCTACTTTTGTGGTTGTTAAAACGTTTCCTAAAACTAGTAATTGTACTCCCCACATACTTTTTCCCACATTTTCTACAATAAATCAAATAAATCACCCCAGCCGAATCGCAATCAAAGTTGTAATTAATGTAGTATTTTACTTTTCCCTCGAGAAATTCTTTCCCCTCATCCACATAATTACAAATCTGACAACGACTCTTATTACACTTACTCATCCCTACACTTACTTCCCTAGCCTTTTTAACCTTAGATCTAACCAAACTATCTTTTAAATTTTTTGGTCTTTTATATGAAACAATCGGCCTACTACCGAAGACATCCCTCATCCTCTCCGATGTCTCCAGAATCGGCCAAAGTGCTTCCACAATTCCATTAATTTCCTTTAATGCCGGATGAAATTCTACTACCAGTGGTACTCTATTACCCAAGTTAGAATTCTTCCTCTTATCCGTTTGGCATAACATTTCAGCCCTATCCTTAACTTTAACCTCAGAAAACTGGTCCTTAACCAACTTTTTGTTAAATCCTCGCTTTATAAAATGACCTTCCATTTCTTTAAGCCTATCCTGAAAAACTTTTTCCGAACTACAAATCCGTTTTAATGTTAGTGCCTGACCATAGGGGATTGCCTTCTTCACATGTGCAGGATGACAAGACTTGAAGTCTAAGTATTGATGTGTATCAGTCGGTTTTGAATACACATCCGTTTGCAATTTACCAGACTCCAATTCCACCCGCACATCCAAATAAGACACCCCCTTTCCGAATATTCCCATGTATATTTAATTGTTTCATGGTAATTGTTAATATAATTTAAAAATTCCAACAGGGATTCTTTACCATGAAGCCAAATAAAAAATATATCATCCAAAAATCTGAACCATACTGAAGGACTCAAGTGATACCCCGCTAACATTTTATTTTCCAATTCTGCCATAAAAATATTTGCGAACGCTGGAGCAAATTTTGTGCCAATGGCTGTCCCTAACTTTTGTTTATACACTTTTCAACGAATTCAAAATAATTGTTATCTAATATAATTTTGGCTAAATCAATCAAATCATCTACAGAAAGTCCCTCCCTTTTATCCATACCACAATTTTTTCTGAAATCCTCAATACTTTTTCTCATACTAGACAGACCTTCCAAATGAGGAATATGCGGGTACAGTCCCACAACATCCATTGTGCACAAAATCGCTCCCTCTGGAATATCACCCAAATCCTGCAGCCTTTTCAAAAAATCCGTTGTATCCCTTATAACATTGGGCAGACTCTTAACAATAGGTTGTAAATAATGATCCACTAATTCCGACAAACCCTCCGTCGGTGTCCCACAGTTAGATATAACTGGACGACCTGGGACATCAACTAGCCGTTTGTGAATTTTTGGAAGTAAATAGAATCTGCCCAATTTATTATTCTTATTCCTTAGATAATTCAAATTCTTTTCGCTAATAACCCCCTTTCCTTTCAAATTCTCTAATTTATTCCGAACTATTTCTGAAACCTTTGCAAGTGGATTTCCTTCTTCCGATACATTTTCGTAAACTAAAACATCAGCCAATTGTCTATTAGCGTCCTTACAATAATCCTCTAATCCCCAAACCACTACCGCAGACCCCTTATCAGCCTCTTTTATTACTATATCCCTATATCCCTTTATATATATCCCTTTATATATATATATATCCCTTTATATATATATATATATATATATATATATATATATATATATATATATATATATATATATATATATATATATATATATATATATATATATATACCCATGCAAGCACTGTATTGCTTCTAGTCTGGCGGCTTGTATTGCCTCTGCGTGGCTCTGGTGTGGGATGTGTGGAATTTCCCGTAGAATTTCGTTAAATTTCTGTTTTATTTTATACATCTCATTTCTTGTTTGCTTTAACTCTATTTTTAGAAAAAAAATTTGCGATGGCAGAATCGTTTTCTGGAGCGGGGGAGGCTCTACGTGCCATTGTTTCTTGGAACCCGGTTGGTGGTGAATTTGCGATCAACATCAGTACTGACAATGTGGAGGTAGCACGAGAAGTGTGCAAAACGGTCACTACACTAGGTGCTCTTTACATTGGTTATCAATTAATAAGACCATTAATTGAAGGTGCGGTTAGAAATGGTCTTGGCGGTGAACGAGATGACCAAGAAGTTCGAGGTATCCGACCAGGATCTTTGCATGTTCGATTACATTGTTTTACAGACGAGAGATTCCTGGCGGTCTTGGCAGATTACGAATCTGGAAGGATAAAAGAACGCTTGCAGGATGAATTTTCGCAGATTGGAATTAAAGTAGAAGGACTCAAGGTGGAGATTAAAAACATGGTAGAGGTGAACAAAACAAAGGAAGCCATAAACAACGATAGGTATGAACGATTTCAAGTCCGTATGTCTTTATCAAAGCAGATAACGTAAGACAAGATTCAAATACCCTTTTTATACTAGACGTATTTTAATATCTTTCCGGATAGAAATTATGTATTCATGTTCTAACTATGGCGGGTATCTGAATTTCCTGCATGATAGTGACGAATGTTTTCTGTCGGTGATACCAGATGACGTTCACTTTATGACAGTTATTTTTTAAATACCGTTAAAGTGCATCTAAAACAGGCCCACTAAATTTCAGTATATAAACGTAGCTTATTAAGAGCAATAGTGATCATGGATACGTACGTGATTGCTGATACAGAATACTAATAAAACACAGGTGTAGTTGTATCAGATTTCACGAGACCGATTCTGCTTCTTCTTTGGAAAAATATTATGCACAATTTGGTAATAGAATTTTTTCCGAGTTCCAGTCATCCAGGGGCAAAATCATTACTCATCCATGCTTGTAGACGAGAAGGGTCTGGTACGAGACCGAGTAATGTTTCTCCTCTGCAGAAAGAACAATAACTAACAAGGCGCTTAAACGTCCGCGTATCGACCGCTCGCACTTGAAAGACATGTCAAGAAAATTACGAGTGTAAACTCAGCATAACTAATTTTTGCCTGTACCTTCAGCTGCCGTTTCCGGGTAGCAAATGTGTTTCTTTGCCCATAATTACTCGTATTATTTTGGCAGATATTTCCACTACCATTTTTGCAGACTCGCGCATGCGCTTGACTTTTGACCGCGTTGTTACTATAACTAAGAGAAATTATAGGCTACTACTTTCGCGCAACGAACAGTATTTAGCAAAATAGTATAAACATCTTAATATGGTTGTTTTTTAACACAGATCTCATATCAACAAGGATCTCAACGAGGACGTGAAAAATATTGTAATAAATGATGGGGAGAGTAAAATAAAGAAAGAGTTGCAGGTAAAAATATTGGAGAAATGAACTGCAATACAAATCTTCCACGTCACAAGACATTCTCCATTAAATTTTTTATACGAAACTAAATCTTACTCCCTTTTTTGCTGTGCGAAAAGGATGACATGATGATAGTTACATACAGTTTGTTTATATCTTATCATTTTTACGTTATATATGACAAGAAAGTCCTGATTCTCTAAAACAAATCTTAGCGCAATTAGGGATTGCATTTCAAAGACAATTTTATCTTTACAGGGTAGCAACGCAATTTTTTATATTCCCTTCTGTTCCAGCTTAAATTTTGATTCCAACAGAGTATTAACAAACAGTTTCTGCGAATAATTCGTACGGGTCTATGAAAGTTCAAACTATGAAAGCAAAAGAAGCGTTTATTGTATTAGAAATTATATGAAAATATGACAGCCTTGGCATTAACTGCTAACTTAATAGTGTGTTGCAATAACAACCATGTGAACAAGCAAACGTTTACTTGAATATTTCCTAGTTTCTGTTAACTGAGTTGAATTATTTCCAAAGTATCAGATGTTATGGTTTTTCCAATAATTTCAGGCAGAACCAGTGATGTCTTAGCTCAAAATACACCAAGTGTAATAACTTCAGGGAGTGGTTACATTGGATAATATAAACTGAGTTGATCCATGTAGACAACAAAAGTTATGCAACTACTGTTGCTATGGCAACAATGGCGTTTCAATGTGGCGAATATTTTGGCTTTAAAGTGATTTAACTCGTTAGTATACTCAATTATCTAGACAATTTAAAAAAATTCTGTTAAAACTCTTCTTGGTCGAAACCATTTAAAAACAGATCTTGAGGTCTGTTATATAATCGATGTCATATTTCTAGTTTATTACAAGTTTTACAGGCGAAAATACTATCATTTGATTCAGCATATAAAAATCTGTTGAAAAAACCTATTATTTTTTAGCTTACTGTGCAATGGAAAACAATTTATCTTTTTCAATTGTATAATAAAGTCCATACAGGAAGTTGGTCATACAAACATTATGGAATGTATCGACGTCTGTGTTGCTATATAACTTCGGTTGCTTGTAGTCCATCGCAAAAGTGATAGCATTATTCGAGTTAGCATAATAAGCTCTATCCACACGCACCAAGTTTTATGCGGTTACGAATAAATATAAGACTTTAATGAACAATTTTGTAAATTTCAACGCGGTCTGTGTTCTATGAGGGCTATTAACATCTCCAATTGCTTGTATCCTACGGCATTGAAACCACTGGCAATCAAGATTTGAAAGCATTTATTCACGCTTTTCTTGGCGTGTGTAATATTTTGATGGAAGCAAAACATGTCATTCGATAGCTTAATTCGTATAGGCTTTCAAACGACGCATTTTACGTTACAAGGAGATACATGGTGAGAAATATTGGACATCGATAAGGGGTATTCAACTCCGTTCATCACTCGGCAACTTTCGGCATTCGTCGTAAACTCGTACATTTTTCAAGATGGCTGCCAAGCTTTCCTCTCACTCTGCTGTTTTTTTTAGTGATCTAAATAAACTTTCATGCCCTGATATTTACCCTCGAAACGTCAGATATAAAAAGAGAAAAACACTTGATAATGGGCGACTATTTGATGCAGAGAAAGTGATAACAAGTCGCCGATCAAAGTATGTGGACGTAAGAGAGTATATATATTTGACTAACATTAAACCCCGTGTTTTCATTCCCAGCAGCCAGGTGGTAGTTTCAAAATACTAGATGCCCGGAAGTCTGGCATTTATAGTTAAAGTCACATTAAAAAAAAAATTGATCCCAATCACAACCCCAGCCCTAACCTCTAAAGGCCCGTTTGCACTTGCAAGTTTTGCGGCGATGTCTATTGCGATATATTTTCCCCTTCTGATGCATGTAAACGACTGGATGAGTTATGAATGCTTGGAGTACTTGTACCCTCGTCTGAATATTCATAACTTACTCATCCGTTCACATCCATCAGAAGAAGAAAATCGCACCTAAAGTCGCAGCAAAAATTGCAAGTGTACACGAGCCTTAACCCATGAAGGTTGAGGAGAGTTAAAACTGGTCGGGAAAAGTTCAAAAGTATTTAAAACGAACTTGAAAATAACGACTCGAAGCAAAATCGAACCCCTTAAACGTTTCAGCCGCATGGTTTAGCAGCTGAGGTACTGACAAGCTCGCTGAAATTAATTGCAAAATAACCTTTTTATAACACTAATGACTGCCGGCCATCTAGACACATTGAACGAAATGACAAAAAATGTAACAAAACTGTTCAAAACCGCAACGTTGGGTATAGATGAACGTTAAAGTCTCTCTTTTGGACTTTTTAAAAACGATGGAACATCCTACAGATAGTCTCGCGTTTTCTCAAGAAATGGCAATGACCGAAGGCAATTGAGAAATTTGGTGACCATTATCTGAAAATGTATAGGGCAACATACTACAAACGTTTACCTTGAAAACCACAAGAGATTTTATCCTACTGGACCGCGTTTACCATCTCAAAATACAAGTTTCCAGCTCCAAAAACGAAACGTTTCCAGCTCCAAAAACGAAAAACGTTTCGAAGTTTTCAGATGAACAAATAGGTTAGGCTGGATCGATATCGCAAATACCGAATACCGATATACCGCCATCAGAATACCGGTAAATATCGGTATTCCGGTATTTTTAACGTGTCTTTTTTTAAGCCAAACTGAAGTGCTGACCGTCAAGAAAAATCAAGTTTTGACAAAATATTAATGTGGCACATACTGTTATTAGTGCAAAATGTCACAAGATTCGCATTATCAAGCTATGTTAACAATTAACAGCGCTAAGCGGCAATTATTAGTAGGCCGTCGATTGGGCGTCGAAGTGTTGAATCATTCAGAAAAATATTCGTTTTGTATATAAATTCAGATAGTGTTTCAGTAAGCTGTTAATAGTTATAAACATAGAAAACGTTGCATTTTTAAAACTAACACATAAACAAGTTAGCAAGCATTGAAAAAAAAACTTGAAAAGCCAGAAAAGGTTTTCGCTGCTTCGCAAATGCTAGTACTTCCACCTTCCAAAATCAAAGTTTTCTTTTTTGTCGAAATTTTCCTTTAAAAATTTCGCCATTTTTATATTTCCGATTAAGGCGATTTAATAAACAAGACGTCTGGTATTGCTAAACCAAAGCCGCTAGAACTGTAAGAACAAAATCATGCATCTGTGAGTATTAACTTTGCTTTCTAAACGTGATTGTAAGCAAGTTTGACTTGAAAGAGCGTTTCATTTCGGTATTAGGCAGCAAAATACCGAAATGTCGGTATATCGGTATTTTTAAATTGTCAATATCGCCAAACCGGTATCTAAACAAATACCGGTAGCCTATATCGGATATATCCGGTATATCGATCCAGCCTAAAATAGGTACAAGATAATTTGACAAAACAAGACAAAACAAGACAAGACAAGACAAGACAAGACAAGACAAGACAAGACAAGACAAGACAAGACAAGACAAGACAAGACAATTTATTTGAACCCACTTTTCCATTGTTTTACATTGCATTATTTTTTTGACATGACATGGGTTCCGTCTGCCCGAAATAACCATTAAAGGGCTAGATGAATCAGGCAGACAAATGAATCAGGTCGAATTCCGTTTGTTTTCCCTACAACGGTCGAATTTCGTTTGTTTTTCCTATACTTTTCAGACATTTCCGAAGCCATTCCGAAGTCTCTGTTCCTACTGCGCGTGCGTGTACAATATTTCTCACCATCAAATATTCGCTGAGATAAACCGAATCCGAAATCAGAATATAGCAGTGTTGTAACGAGTCGAGTCATTGACTCTGACTCGAGTCAACTCGAGTCGCTATTTTCAGCGACTCGACTCGACTCGAGTCCAATACGAAAAATGACTCGACTCGACTCGAGTCCAATACGAAAAATGACTCGACTCGACTCGAGTCAACAGCCCCAAATGACTCGACTCGGACTCGACTTGCTGATTTTGCCGTAAATGACTCGAGTCAACTCATCTACAACTTGTACAGAGTAAATTCATCACAATTATTGTGATTGTATTGCTTGGGAAGAACAATGAGCCCTGTAAACAATGAGAACTTTGAAACTTTATCAGAAAATATATGGGATTTGCATAGAATATATTCCTGACGGGCATACCTATATTACATTTCTGTTTTTAGAAACAACGCTAGTGCCACAGTTTTTTTAAAATTAAGTCTCAAAATATTTTGTACTTATACTAATTCTGACAGGCTATTTTCATTTTTGGTATTTATGAAGGGCTATATAATTTCAAATCAACTTACAAAGCGTTGTTAATTAAAGTCTATTCTTTGTTAATTCTGACTCCAGTTGCAAGTTTTGCTAGTTGTATGTACGTACACTCGATCAGCAGGTATGATGAGACATCTCACGTGGTTGACTGGAACTGTGATATTGGCACAGCCTATAGCTGCCCAGATACTGTTATTAATTTAAATGACTAAAGTAATTAGTTTAAAACGCAAATTTGATTACTAATTTCCGACAGCAAGCTAGAGTAGCTCAAGTAAAGTCTAGAAATTGACTCGACTCGACTTAAATCAGTGACTCGACTTGACTCGAGTGAAGCCGCTGACTCGACTCGACTCGAGTGAAGCCACTGACTCGACTCGACTCGACTCGACTCGATCAAAAACTGAAATGACTCGACTCGACTCGTGACTCGACCTTTGAGTGACTCGACTCGACTCGTGACTCGACCTGTAGGTGACTCGTTACAACACTGTTACACTGTACCGTTTTCGTAGCGTTCTCGTATTGTTCGAGAGAACTAGACTATTGTCTTGCGTTCCCTTGAGGATTAAGAACAATACGAGAACGCTACGAAAACGGTACAGTGTAAACGCTGCCCTAGTGACAACAGATATGTATAGGTTATTTTGAGGCAACGAGGGGATATGTGATTTATTCACCGAGGCGCGCAGCGCCGATGTGAATAAACACATATCCCCGAGGTGCCTCAAAATAAC